TGGCCTACAAAAGAAGCACAGCTATTATTAAATCACGAGTAGTATTGCAATTCTGTACACTGCTAGCTTGAATCCAAAGAGCTTCTCCTTTGTTTTACTTCAGGCAATGGGGTATCTATGTCATGCTCCCTTCACTCCCAGTCAGATACATGTGAGGTTATTGGGTGGAGGTCTCACTCTGATGGCTGAAGACTGTGGTGGATATCCCAATGTTCATGCATGAGATGGGGGCTAGGGCAAAGCTAGGAAAAGCAGGACACTAGTTTCATGGCAGTTACTAGCATAGAACTTGTTCAGCAACAAGTGAAAGTATTACAGAAATTCCATGATAATTTTCTCAACTTGTTGAAAAACAACACACAAAGCAGTACTGAATCCTTGGAATCATTAGAAGAATGCATATGCATGCTTCAGTTAAAGATGAGTTATGGCTGTTTGCATACAAACCATTGCAAGTGTGGTGTTCAAATATTTACACCTGATAATAATCCTTTAACCTGTTTAAGCTTTCTGACACTGGGAAAAGTGGGGGGGGGAAGGAGAGAGACAAGGAGAACTAAATTTAAGCTTCTGTTTCCCATTTTGACTCTTCACATATCACTTACTGCAGGAGCTGCAGTATTTTTTGCCACTTCATCATCAACAGTGCTTTAATACAGGGTAGAAGCTTTAAATCAGAAAACAAATAAAATGAGATCCACTCTGGAAAGCACATTCTGAGCTTTTAATACTAAAAGTAGAAGTTTGTCACTTAGGCTCTCTACACCTGACACTGACCTGCAAAGTCCAGAACATTGTCCACAGCACATGCAAGAGATGAAGTGACGACAGTATCCAGAAATTGAAGGGGGTGAAAAAGAACTGTGGCTCTGTTGACATATAAAGCAATAACTTAATAACCACTTTCAAGTCCTCCAGAATCTCACAGAGGAAGTATTCTGTCCAGATGGTGGGAGATACTGGAGAAAATAAAATGTATTCTTTGCTGCCTCTGGATATTAAGAATGATCCTATATGCTGCACATTAAAAGTTGCTACCAGAAACGACAAAAAATAAAAGCCATCATTCTTACTGAATCCTGAGTGATGGCAGGAATTTTAGCTGCATCCTCTAAAATTTTAAAGAGAGAAAATATTTTTTTTCATGAAAGGAATCCAACATATCAGAGAGAAAATATTTTTTTTCATGAAAGGAATGCAACAAATAAAAACAGAATACTAGTGACTGCAGCATCGCAGGTTTTATTAACACATGGGCCTCTGCATCCATCTTGTCCCCATATATGATCCAAGTAATAACAACTAGACTTTTCTGTTGTCATAAGCATTTTCCTCAAAAATTTCTAAATATTATTGATGAAAAAGAAAACAAATGGAAATTCTGATATGGAACCATCTGTCTCTATATCTTAATCCTTTTGTGCAGGAGCTCCTGTTTTCTTTCCTACTGAACTTAAAAAACACAGCCTGCTTCCTTAAATTTCTTATGATACTCATTCTTTCTTCCTTACTGACCGATGCTAATTGTCTTGGATGATTCCTTTATTCTTCTATAATGTAAACCAAAATTGTTAAACTCATTCACCCCACTCCCCAGTAGGCCAAATACAGACCATGGGACTCCTCCTGGACTGGATCTGAACTGAGCAACAGTAGGGTAAATGGTTCATGGGTACCTGAGCTGCTGTATCAGCTTGGGTAGTCACTGAGGTTAACGCAGTCATCGTTCACCTTGTTGCTGAAAAAAATGAATTCCTAGTGGGGTCTATAACATGGAATTCAGCAGTTGGAGCTGCCCCTTCAAGAGCCCCACGAACCAGATGACACGGCTCCATGGGCTGTTTGACATCCATCTGATGAAGTAAACTTGGGTTCACGAAAGTTTGTTCTCCGTTCTCCCTCTCTTACTTATTCTATAAAGGTGTACACCTACCCCGTCTTCATCCCCAGTACAGACAAAAATGATCAATAATAAAATAGTTAATACTGCTGACATTTAAATTAGGTTTCAGAGTTGGCATCCTGAGTGACAGCTATCTATTTCACTCTCATTTTTATTTCATTCTGTTTGCAGATAAGTCATGCCAACTGAAACATTATCTTTATAACCATAAGGACCAGGGGAAAGGAAAAAAAGGAAAATGTAGGTTCTGCCATCAAATTCTGAGGCAAGAGGTAGATTTGTCCACAAATTTGGTAATGAGCTGTGCGTCTCCCACCATGACATTCTTAAAAAAATAAACAAACACTGGGCTTTAAAAACAGAGTATGAATCTTTTTTCTTTCTTGTAGAAAAAAAATAGGTGATCCTGAACTCCAAACACTAGAAAGTAAGATGAAATGATTTCAAAAGTGTATTATTTGAATTTTAAATTTACTCAACATCTAAATAATCTCAGAAATTAAATCTACATTTGTGTTTAATGTATTTTGCCTTGAAGAGGCAAAATGAATGTCCCACAAATCTATAGCAACATGGAAGTGAAACCTTCCACAATTAACCTGGAATTCAGTTTGGATTATTCCTAAAATATGCTGGAGCTAGAGATAATTCATTTGGAGATGTGATGGGATACAGCCTCATGTACCTAAAATACATAACTGTATTAACAGCACCTTTTTTGTTAGTTACTTTCATTTAAAGAAAAAGAAGTGTATTCTAAAATCTTTTGATAGTAAATAAAAAAAAAACCCTCCATCAGCATACCACCACAGGCCAAGGTTAATCCTACCAGGAACTAGCATTTTACAGAACCAAAGAACTTGATTAAAAATGGTCCCATCATAGTCAAGGTATAAAAAGAGACTAATTATTATTTCTAAAGGGCCAGATTTTAGCATCTTTACAAATACTCCACAAGTAATCCTCCACTGACATCCTTGGAGAGAAAAATGTATCAGAATACAGTTCAAGATAAATTTAATACCAAGTAGATACATTATATTTAACATTTTTAAAATTCCCCCCATACTTTACTTCTGCTTTACTTCATTCCTTTTGCGTTGTTGATTCTGCATTAACTTCTGAAGAAAAATTCATTCTTTTGTGATATCTTTAGTTAGCATAACTTTGTAAAATAAGAAAAAGAATAGTAATTATAAGCAGTTCCATGTAAATTATTTTAAAATCACAAAATAAAACCTATAGTTGGAAGGTGGTAAGGTCTGTGAATGTCATGGTGGGGGGGGGGAGGGGGAAGTTGGCTACAAGCTCAGTATGAAAAATCCTATTTGTGAGGCTTAAATTGTGTTAGATTATATTTTGCTGGTTGGAAAAGATTGAGCTATTTATATCTTGTCTCATAAATCATTTTCCTCTTTAAGTGCCATACTGTTAAAATAACTTGGATAAGTTTAGCATTTAAAAATTACAGGTTTAGAAGAAATGACATGCCAAAATTATAGCTCCTGCTGCTTTATAAGGTATTTTTTTTACTTGTGCCAAACCTGAAAAAAGAGACAGAGTGAATCAGGAGGAGTTGGGAGATGACATCAGAAGTTTTGAGCTAGTGTCCTGTACTTCTCCTTGAAGATAAAATGGTGAATATAGAAGAATTGATTTAATGATGCATTTTTTTAAACAATAGTTTAAACCCTTATTAGGAAAATTATTTAAAATGTCTGATTAAAATTACACTGTTGCCAAGTTTTACAGGCCGCCAGAACGCTCTTATTTTTCGTCTTTAAAACACTAATTACATATCGTTCCTCAAGTTACACATTGATTTTTCTACCTATCCGTTTAATGATGCTTTGCATACCAATACATAGATGAGTACTAGAGGAAAAGATATTTACTGCTTTTCCTAACACTACAATTACTTTTTGCTTGCCCTCCTAAAAATATACTACATCTTGGATGTGTGTAATACTGTTAAAGACAGTCGATTAATTCCTGTAGTAACTATGGATTTGACCCTGGGAAGTACTGAGCACCATTAAAGTCAATGGAAGTTGAAAAAGCTAAGCACTCCATAGGATTAGACATGGTGTACATACCCTTATTGAAATGCCCTGGTGAAGTTTACTTTAGATCCTTGCTTTCAAGGGCTCACAGTCAGGTATGAACTCCACATTCCTTGCAAAATTTAACAGAATTTTGTCCCAAATAAATCCTTTTTCCTTCTTGTTGCCAACACCATTTAACATAAATCTTCTCCATTGCTTCCTGCTGCTAGTTCTCAGCAAGAAAGTTGATATGGTTCAGCACAGTGAAAACACTGCTTTAAAAGCTAGGCTGCTCATTAAATTATTCTGCTGGCTGTGCGTTCTCATTAAAAATGCATAAAGAGCAGATAATTGCAGTATTATAAACCTTGCTTTTCCTGTTTTTATTTAAAGGTTTTAATTTTGAGCATAAAACAAGGACCTGGAAACGGCAAGGAAAACATTTTACTAAACTACAATATCAAAACTCTTTAGTGGCTTGCCTTTAAGAACACAGGGAATCATTGTGTATTCAAAAAATACCTATACTCCTTACAAGCTGCAGTGGAATGAGGTATCATAATTTCATTGAAACCCTGATTCCAATCTAAAAAATAGAGCATCATATTTTTAATTCAGATGTTATATTGGCAGTTATTTAAGCTAAACAATTTCCAATTCCATGTTAATCATCGAACACGTCTGCTGTAAACTTTATTGATTTTAAGTTAACTGATTGTCTGTATTATATCCCGTAAATACTATCAAATGAGAACCCAGCTAAGAACCCAGTTAAGCTAACAGTACTTTTGAAATATACTGACCTATTTTTTATTTTAAATGTTTTATTTTTAATAAAACATACATATACTCATGTTCCGTTTCAGAAAAGAACAATTTCCATTTTTAATTCAGTCGAAAAATAAAATCACGATAAAACTCACGTCTCCCCTCCAAGTGGTAATATGCATTGGAAAACCTTGTTTCCCTGACTCCCCCAGCCAACACATATGGTATGCAGCATACTGCAGCAAACTCTTTAAACATTCAATATAAGACAATGATCCTCCTACCTTGTTTAGCTCCGTCTATTTGACATATTTACAATGTAAACGGAAACATCCGATATAATCAAATGACCACATCTTCTCCATTGCTTCATTATGAGGTGCTATTTTCATGTAAAATAACTATTGCTCTTTATTTTTTGTGCTCTGAAAGCCTTATGCCTTATCTGGGGATTTTTCCTCAGATGATGAAGCAGAGGCAGCCTGAACTCTGTTGCTGAAAGACTGCAACCCTTCCTTCTAACAAATCCCTCCCAACATATGGTAACCAATCATATACAAGTTCGTCAGTTCCACTGGTCTTAAACTGGTTGTAGGAGGATGATTGACAAGGCAACACAGCACTTCTAATGTGTAAAAACAATGCATCCATACTGATGAACAAGGAATTTCCCTCACCCAGAAAAACAGTTTTACTGGGGAGGTGAAGTGACACAATCATGAAATAGCTGATATGCAACAGAAACAATGCCAGTACACATCCAGTCAACATTTGCCTGCAGTACAATTTTTAAGAGCTTCTGTTAGCTGCAAATACATATTGCAGTAAATAAAATAAAATTCATGAGTAAAGCTCTGTGTTGTGCTACTGAGATTAAATCATGAACTGTAATTCAAATTAATACATCCTTCAAGATTATTTAAAGTACAACTGAAGCACACCTATGTGAACTCAAACATAAATATGTTTATATCTTACTACTGCAAACATAATCATTTAGGGTTGGAAGCTAATTGCAGTATATATGTGCTGCATCTTTCACAAGGTTTTTTGAACTACTGCAGCCTGCAGTTCTGGAACACTTTACAGTAAAAAAAACAAAACAACCAAAACTTCAGTCAATATATTACCTTTTCAATATATACCTGGCAGACGGAGTTGTAGCCAAACTATGTTCACTTTGATTAACATATAACTGCTGCTCTTTCATAGCCAGGTGCAAGCACAAATACTACAAGGTGGCATATCTCATTTTTAATCAGATTTATAGCACCTTGATTGTGACAAAATATACTTTGCACATGGGGCAGTTCATAATTTGGTACTAAACCACATATAGACTTACTCACTTTGAAGCCCAAATTCTGCAAGAACACCCTTAATGTTTTACTGCAACTGAAAAAGCAAAAGAGATAATTAATTTAAATAAGGAAAAAACAAATTAAAAAAGAATCACTACTTCCAAGTCAGCAAAAAGAAGTACATAAAAATAGAAGAATTCAACAGCAGTCTCGCATTGTAAACAAATATATATACATTTCAGGGGGGGAAAAAAAGGTGAAATATTTTGCTTGATGGATAAGTTTAAACATATGAACAGACAAGGCAGAAACAAAGCTCTCATTCATCTCATAGTTCAAGCCCAAGGCCCCATTGTTTACAATTGACAGTTTTGCATAGTTGAAATGAAGCATTTCCTAAATTAATTCCCCTTTTACCCTACAGCAAAATCTTTCATTCAGACTTCATCTTAATTACTGCAACTTCATTGGCTTCCCCAAAATTCATACTGCCCTGCCCATAGTCCACACAGCACCCTTTCCATGCATAGCTTTTTTGACAATCTTTGCCAATCAAGCAATCACAACACACATTCCCTTTGTGTCCCTGCACTGGCTCTCTCTCCTCTACTGCATCAAATTCATGCTGTCATCAACAGCCTTTTGGCTGTTGCATAACTCTGCCTTCTTCCCTTCCTTAGCCACCTTTGTCTCCTTTCTGGATCATCCCCCTCCATTCTGCTCTATTCCCTTTTGTTATAAAAAAACTAACAGATTGGTTTATTTTTTCAATTTTGGAGAGTCACCAGTGTATCCTTCAAGCAGAGCTGGTAGTGCCACCTAACAGAGACTACCAAGTGATTCCTACTGGTCTATTTGGACTCGTATAATTTAGTCAAACTTTAACCATTAGGACTAAAAATTCCCATGCTGAATCTCTGCTTTAAAATAATAAAAAAAGAGCGTATGTAAAGCAGATCCCCTATTTTTAAGACTGAGGTTAGAGGGAAACAGTTGTTGATATCCCATGCTTACAAATGGATTCTTTGAATAGCTCTAGCACCATGATTTCTTTGAAGCAGGCTAGTGAATCTGACCAGGAAACTGGCCTTTATGCAAGAAATGTATTTTCTGATACTCCTGTGATATCTGCATTTTGGCCACAATATAAACCTTTGAAAAATTCAGTTTGTACATGCTCAGTAGATACTGGTTAAAGCTTTTCAGTTAAAGTCTCCAAGGATTTCATCCACAATGAGTGTCTCCCCAAAGCCCCTATGTGGGACTGCGTACACAAGTCAACCCCAGAGAAATTGAGTTTATTTTAGCCTAAGGATGCAGGTGCTCAGAAAGACACTCTGCCAGATGTCAGTGGCTAGGCCCAAAATCCGGGAGAGTAAAGAGACTCTCCCTTCTGTGTTCCAGTGACTGTTTAGCAATGTACGTTAAGAAGACATTGAACCATACGAGGAACAAGACCTGGATGGGGTGGGAAGGGGGAGCAGACTGGGACAAGGAGCCTAGGCATAAAGGAGAGAAGGAGAGATGGGGACTGGAGAACAAAAGGGGACAAGAATGATACCAGAGTGGAGGATATGGGATAAATGGAGGAAAAAAGAGGAAAGGGAAATCAGAAAAAGACTGACTAAACTACAAGATTGGATGTGAGGAAGAGTATGGCGAGAATCCGAGAGCTTGGGGACTGCGTGGGTGGCTGAGGGTAGGGGGTGTACATGTGTGTGCGTGGAGGGGGGGGCAGAAGTGTGTGGACGGAGGCTACACACGGAGGCTACACACAAAGCCAAGCGCTTGGCTTATGTTGCTGCTGTAGAGCATTGCACTGGTCCTCCCTGCCATGCTCCAGCCCCAGCCGATGGCATGGAGCAGCATGTGGTGCTGCAGCCACTGCCTGTGCTTATGCCACATGAGGTGCGCCTCACGTACCTTGTGCTGGAGGCCATCTCCCACTGTGTCCCTGCAGACCAACACCCAATGAGTCTGCGCGGGGCTGGGCAGGACAGGAGACAGCTGGAGGGCTACAGGTCAGAAGTGAGGAGCACTGACAAGGCCACGAGGCTGCAGGTTGGAAGTGAGGGGCACTGGGGGAGGCAGGGAGCTGTGGGTATAGAGTGAGGGACACTGCCAGCATATCAGGGCTGCTAAGCACCACAAAGCAGGGGGGTGGGGGACATAGCTGCAGCTGGACCCGCATCCTGTTAAGCGAAGGGGGCAGGGGGAGCTCTGATTTTCCATGATCAAAAAAACCATAATCAAACGCCAAAAATGTATAGGTATTTAGAATTTGTTTTATTATAATGATTGAGGCACTGGTAGGCTTCCAAACTGCTTTAAAATTGTAAATATATCAATAAAAAATTGCATTCAACTAATACATATAGACTGATGAATCAATATATATAGATAGATAGATAGATAGATAGATAGATAGATAGATAGATAGATAGATAGATATAGTGGTGTTTCATTTTAATCATGGAAAAACATAGATTGAGTTTTTTTTAACTACAGTATTTGGGTTGTTGTTTTTTTTTTAAATCAGAAAATTTTGAATTTGCTACCAGAGAAAACCAGGATCCCTGCTAATTAATTACATGGGTGTTAATGTGATGACACATACCAGAACATGTTCTTTCCATTTACAACAGCATAGCAGAGTGGTACATTCTTCCAGAGAAGTGAGGAAAATTCAGGAGTCAAATACTGGGACAACAAGAGTAAGAAAAAGCAAATCTATGCCTTGAAGCACACAAAAACCTCTGCTGGTTCTAAGGGACACATTTGATTGAGATAACGTACAAAAATACCCGAAGTATAGTAGAATGCCCAGGCACTGCACTCACTGGGAGTGACCCTGGTGGATTGTGAAGATGGTACACTAGTAACTTTTAACCACTACAAATCTGGGGTAGGGAACAGATTATTGCTAGGGAGAGAATATTAGCCATTATGCTCTAAATATTTCCCTTTCCTACTCCTGCAGCAGTATAAATGTTGCAAAATCACTGCAACTATAACCCTGCTTCATTGACAGTAAAATTTGCAGCTCATTTAGCTGTAAGTTTAGCTCATTTATATCACTATAAGAGCATGCAGAGGTAACAGTTACAGGCTAACAACTAGTACCTACTTCCAAACTACAACTGTTGCCTACTCCCAGTGCTGAAGCAGTTAAAAGCTACCTCTAAAATACAGAGTCTCTAGCTCTGGACAAAGGGCTCTGTTAACAAACACAGTCAAACCCTGATAATGTCACATGCAAGGGACTGACAAAAACCCGTGATATCATGCAGAGATGATATCACAGTAGTTCTATATCAGGTAGGAGGCAAGTGATACAGCAGTGATTTGCAAGACCATTTTCATTCTCAATGCATTTTGCCACCATGTCCCTAAAACATGCTTACTCAAGTCCCAGCCACTTTGTGAATTCTCTAGAACAGGGGCTGGCAATCTTTTAGCCAGTGGTCAAATTAACAGCTCACTGTGAAAGTGAGCTGCCACTTGCAACCTGGCCACTGCCATTTTTCACCAGCCACCAAAGGCCACTACTTATTCCCACCAATTCCCCCACCACCAAATGCTGCTACCAATTACCACTGATATCCCAGCTTTGTGGTCTGGATAAGAACTACTTGGTGGGCTGGATCCAGTCTGTAGGCCATAAGCTACCAATCCCTGCTCTAGACTATACACTTTACTCCTTTTGGGGAAGGGTTTGTGACCTCATAATGTCTTACTATGATGTGTATTTATTCAATATTTAACAAAATAAATTAAATAAAAACCAGAAATAATTATATACTGTAATTACCTGAAGGGACAATAGTTATATTACTGCACAATAAAGCTGGGAGGGTTTAAACCCCTTGATATTTGTGCTCTGGCTAAAAGACAGAAGCACAAATATCACACACAACCACACCCAGAATCACCAGATCTGAGTTTCACATACCCTCTAACCCCATTGTTAACTTCTGTCTTTTAGCAAAAGTCTCATAAAACACACCCTCAGAGGTAACTCTACAAATAAGAACACATGCTTCTATGAAATTTGACTACAAGATAAAGCTCTAGGCAAGTTGCACTCCCCCGATGGTACCCCAAATTCCCCAGGGACTAAGCAAGTGCCTGACAATTATATTATATTATATTTTACAATTATAATATGTATGTATATTTTT